CCCCCACCCCCACCAGCACTGGCAAGGCAGGCCACAGTATATAAATAGAGAGCAAACCCCACTCCATTCTAGCACTGAAGATATTACCTAGCCCAGTAATGAAACGTTTCCAAGAAAAGAACCAAGCTCAGAGGACCCCAAGGACTCCATGATTCAGAAGTGGCATTGCTTACCACTGCTTTTAAGAGAACATCAGTACCTTTGTAACATCAGCTATTACTCTAGCACCCATCTTCAGCTCAGGCATATTGGTTCTCTTAGTGGACACGCTTTGTATTAAGTCCTGAAACCAGAATCAGACTTGCAAGACTCTGTTAATATAACCTTACAATAAAGTAGAATTGTTTCACCTGGGTGTGCTTCCTCTCTGGACTACCTTACAAGGCTGACATCAATCTTGCAAATCTGATAGTACATTTCTCCCTGTCACCTTTACAGCCCAGGTCCCTTCTGAGATGTTTGCCACTCCCACATTCCCTATGCAGGCTAAGCTGCCTCTTATCTGACCACTCCCCGGGCTGTGGCTCTTCCCCCTGTCTCCCAGGGTCATTCCCACATACCATTACAGTTGGAGACAACTTGCAACACAGTGAATCATGTGGTAGGACTCAAAATATTAAATTGTTTTAACAAAGAGTTCTATCATAGAACCTTTCTACACACAGGGAAGGAGAAAAGGGAAAGGCTATCCAGATGGCTGTGGTGATGCAGAAGAATTGGCAGTCCAGCTGATGCCCCCAGCCTCATTATAGTTATTTCATCATCTATCAGAGTGAGAGGGGAAAAAATACTGAGGGGACAGCAATATAATTGCCCCACTGATCATACCTAATAATGGTGGAATGGTGCCTTGACTTCACAAGGGGGCTACCAGATACGGCAAAGCAGTTGTTTTCACCAATGGGTAAACCTCTGCCCCACAACTAGAAAGAAAAGACTGCAAAACTCTCTTCATAGCATTTCCTCTGGAGTGGAACTGAGTCAGTAGTTACTTGGCAAGCCCATGGTGTGGGGAGGACCCAGGGCACCGCCAGTCTCAGAGCAGTGAAACCATTGCATTATAGAAGGGTCCTGAATACATAAGCATTTTGCAGTGCAAACTCCTGTGCATTACATCATGATATAAGTACGAAATGGTGGAGCTTACATATGACATCATGGCACACATTTTGTCATTTTGGCATATTGTAGTTAGGAATGGATGCCCATGCTAAGCACTGTGGTGTAATATCTTATTTGTGTTTATTCAAAACCAAACTTGACTTTGCTTTTATATAAGTGTATATAGATTTGTAGGATTATTTCTTTTGCTCTGTACTTTACTCAAACTACAGTACAGGTGATCCTTGCTAACTGACCACTCATTCAGCAAGCATTCGAAGTTACGACGACACTGAAAAAGGAGACTTATGACAGATTCTTTAAGTTGCAGCTGTCGCAGTGTCCCTGTGGTCACGTGATGGCAATTTGGGCGCTTGGCAACTGGTGTGCATTTATGATGGTCACAGTGCCCCGCAATCACGTGATTGCCATTTGTGACCTTCACAGCCAGCTTCCGACAAGCAAAGCCAATGACGAAGCCAGCAGATATTCGCAAGTTGCGGTCACATGACATGCTTAACGTCCCATGGTGATTCACTTAATGACCACACTGGAACTGCCAAACTGCTGTTGGGCGTGGTCATGATTTTTCACTTTATGACTGTGCGCTTAGCAATACAGTTGCCAGCCCCAGTTGCAGTTGGTAAGTGAGGACTACCTGTAGTTCCAACAATAATGAATACTTTTAAGTAATAGTATATAACCTTAATATTTTAACTCAGTTTTCATCTTAATCATGAACAGAAAGTTAAGTTCCTGATATTAATCAGCTGTCTGCCTTAATGAAATAGCTTAAGTCTTTCTTATGAATTGTTGTTTTTCTTTTAAAATAAAGGCAAATGAAAAGGAATATATTACTGTGTTTAAATATATAGATATATTTAAATGTACAGATCTAATGATCTTGTATATTATCTTGTCCACATATAATTTTTATTTTTCTCTCCAGGGTTATGAAGGTTCTCTTATTAAACTCACTTCAAAGCAGGTAAGCTTAATATTGGGTAAATGCTTCATCATGACCTTTATAGGAAATTATTAAAGTGTGGTAAATTATAAACAAAGTTGGGATGAAGTTTTGGCACAGAGATTTAAATATCAGTAGCCTTTATATTATTTGTTTTTCTATAAAGGTCAATAAAGATGGTCAGAATAACCGAACTGGAAGTTGTTAACCTATTAAAGTCTCTCTAGTTGATTATGTATTTACCTTTTAACTAAGTACAGTAATCACTGTATTAAAGATGTATGTTAGCTGTACTTGAAAGATCAAAGTTGTGCCAGGCCTCTGCCTATCTTCAAAATCACTGGACATGCAGAAGGTGAAAATGAGACTATGCATGCCAGTCTCTTGCTTTTTTTAATGTGTAATTTTATTGAAGAAATTTTTAACAAGATAAAAACAATGCAAATATTAGAAAAGAAACAAAGAAAAAAAAGAAAGAATAGTGAATAAGTAAGAAGGAAAACAGAAAAAGAAATAGAAATAGAAAACGCAAGAAAAAAGCAGAAAAGATTATAAAGAAGTGGCTTCTGATCTTTTTGACAGTGGTTATAAATACATTTATATTTTACCCTCTCTCTCTAAGGTTACATCATAATTTCCTTCTTCCCATAAGCTACCCTTTCTAATCTTCAAACCCATAAATCACAAGTTCATTTTTCTCTTTTTTCAGCAAAAAGTCCATCAGGGGTTTCCAGTCGTAGTTGTTCATCTTTCTCTAATCAAACAAGTTAATTTTGCCTTCTTTGCTAGTTCTGTTGTCTTCACCAACCATTCCTCCGTTATAAGTATTTCAGAGTCTTTCCATTTGTGCATAAATAATAGTCTCACAGCAGTAATCATACATAAAAATAATTTTCCATGGCTGTTTTCTAATTGACTGTCCATTAATCCCAGCAGGAAAAGTTCTAGTTTCAGTTAAATGTTCATATTTAAAATTCTTTGTAGCATTACATATATTTGAACCCAGAAATTTCTGGCTTTTTTACAAGTCCACCAAGCATGATAAAATGACTCTTCATGTTGTCCACATTTCCAACATAAATTTGATTTACCTTTATACATTCAAGACAATTTTTCTGGAGTCATATACCAACAGTACATCATATTATAAAAATTCTCTTTTAGATTATAACAATGTAAACTTCAATCCTTTTAACCACATATTTTCCCACTGTTCCATAAGTACAGTGGTACCTCGGGATACGAACTTAATCCGTTCCGTGACCCTGGGCGTCCCCCTGAGTTGCTCGTAACCCGACGCAAATTTCCCCATAGGGTTCAATGTAAATCTGGTTAATCCGTTTCGCCCTCCGAATTTGGTCACACCCCAAAGCAAATTTTCCAATAAAGTTCAATGTAATTACCGTTAATCCGTTCTGGCGTCCGCGGGCCACGCATCA